GACATCCCATATGGGATCAATTCCAGTTCCAGCTGCTCCATTTCTGATCCAGCTCCCTGCTAATGTGCCTGGAAAAGCAGCAGAGGATGGTCCAGGTGCTTGGGCCCCTGCACACACATGGGAGACCTGGAAGAAATTCCTAGCCAGGCTTTGGCCTGGCTCAGTCCTGGCTGCTGTGGCCATCTGGGGAATGAACCAGTGGATAGAAGACTTAACTATGTAAATCTACTTTTCAAATAAATAAGATAAATTAAAAAAAAAGCGAGAGAAAAGTTTGTGATTATAAAATAAACTGAAAGTATGCCATTGCAAAAAATTAAAAGAAAAATTAGAAATGAAAGAGGAGGCAGGGGGAGAGCAAGGGAGGGAGGGAAAGTAGGTTGGATGGGAAGTATCATTATTCTCTTAAAACTGTTTATATGAAATACATGAATTTATTCCCTTTATATAAAAAATTTTAAATATTTCAGCTGTGTCACACTCATTTGTAATTCTGTACATATTAAATCAAATGTCAAGAATGTCTTTGGTGTGAATAATCCAGAAAAACCCAAGAACTTATCAAAACATAAAAGCATAAAAACTTTGTTTAAAACAGTTTCTTAGACAAACACGTCCATATCATTCAGAACTCATATCATTCAAGGACCATGCATCAGGCATGGAAAGAGAACTGTCCTAGAGCAGTTTAGAGGAATCAGCACACACTACCAAGAGGCACACATCAGCAGAGAATGCACACTAAACTCAGAGATGGCACCTCCAGGAGAGTGCAAGTAATTTTCCCAGATTAAGCATTTATAAAAAAAAATGACACCCACTTAAAGTCAAAACTAAAGTAGAACATAATGAGACAGTCTCCCACAGTGAAACTTCAGAGTGTGTACCAACCACCCACAGGAAAAGACAGGACCATGCAAACCCTACATCTTCTTTCTATGTTAAGGTAAAAATATATCAAACATTAAGATATTTTACAAAATACTTCCTTTTCTGAAGGAAAAATAATGACAAATGTCTAAGAGATACCTGCTGATTATATTGTTTTCTGACTTCATTGGCTTATACTGAAAGTAAACCACTTGCCAAAACAAACTGCGGTAGTTATGTAAGTTTTCTAAGACTTCAGAAAATACTGAGGAGAAACATTTAACTTAGACTCGGGCCCAGATGTTTGTTATCTACACATTTCCCCCTTTTATTAACCCAGATTAAATCTAATCCTGTTCAAATCTGATGGTATTTTGCAAAAAAAAACTTTCTAGTTTTTGGCTTATCTAATTCATCAATTTCTGGTTTTAGATGTATTATTATTGTCTCTCTTGCTCTGGCAGACTTTTCCTCCTAACTTCTTGCCTAGATTGCTAAATTTTTATTTTATTTTGAAGCCATTTAACAATGAAAGCATTTGCTATGCATTTGCCTCAGACTATAGCTTCAACCACATCCCAAAAGTTTTCACATATGGCATTTTATTGCGATCATTTTTCAATAATCTATAATTCTACTTTTTATTTCCTTCCTGACCTAAAGGCTTGAAAATGTCTCCTTAAATTTCCAAATGGCAGTTTTTCTAAATGAGCATGTATTTACTTTCTGGCTATAAAAGTATTATCTGATAAGATACATCATTTACTTATATCCATATATAGAAGTCAAGTACAAGTATTGCTGAATAATTACTACTTGCAGTAACTTATTTAGGATCCATTCATCCCTTGGTATCTGAAGTGATGGGTTCCAGGCCTCCCCACAGATGCCTAAAGCCTCAGATGCTCAAATTCTTTTTCCTTTCACACATAATATATACACTATCTCCTAGACACCTTATATAATCTCTAGGTTTCTAATAATACCTAACACTATTTAAATGCTATGTAAACAGTTGTCAAACTGCATTGTTTAGGGAATAATGACCCCAAAAAAGTGTATTGTTTATTATAATTTTTTCTTGAATATTTTTAATCCACCAACTAACCAGAATACAGAGCAATGATATACTGACTTACTTAGTGCTAACATTATTTGAACCTTATAAATTATTTAAAAGAAAGTTATAAAACAGATAGTTTTACATCTTATTGGTGAACAGCTCTGCATACAATCATATGCATCCACTGCATATTTGTTTTTCTAAGAATTAAAGATGTTAATAACTAATAATCATAAATTCTTTTGGAAGAATATATACAGTAATGCACTAAAAATTAAGTTAATATTTAAATTATCTGTGATAACATAAACATCTATGAACTTCAGGTGTTTGGTTACCACTAAGCCCAGTTTATTTAAAAAAACACTCAAAACATTTTCCTAAATTTCCTGAAAATGGAAACTAAGCCTTTATAAAGAAAATGAACTTCATGATTTATTCTTCACATCCCTTTACACTAGCTTTTTTAAGGGAAAAATGCATTTATGCCAAGTAATATCTGTTCTTAGAACATCTAACTCTAGCAGCTAAAATTAAGCTACTTCCTTTGATTTAATACAGTCTTGCAAAAGGACAACACTCCTGAGATTCTCTTTGGTTTTAACATTCCTTCAAACAGTCATTACTGCAAAAAGACTACCTACCTAGCACGGTATTACCAGCGACTTACTTTGTGTAATCTTTATCAATATATACACAATTTATCATTTTATAAAAAGATTTTATGTAAAAGATAAAAAGGAATTCTGCAACATGAACTTTTGGCAAAAGAGCTTTTGTTTTTTAAAAAGTTACACTTGAGCAGTAAGTACTTAAAGAGGTAGGTTATGATAAAATGCAGAAAATCTGTGTTAAGAACTATTTTTAAAAAATCAAACTTCTACGACCTGCTAACCACTACAATACTATGTTTTAATGCTACAAGCATTTCTAGAAATTCTGGATATAAGTCAACATTAGTTTAAAAGGAAAAAACAAACATTTTGTGAGGAAAAAAGGAAATTCAGCATATACTTTTATAATTGAAATTTACTGGAAATTTAACCTTGAAAAGCCATTACATTACTCTAAAGTACAGTGAAAATTATAAAGATTTCTAAAAGTTGAGAAATCTCAGCACCTAACCATTCGGTTAATGGTCTTTGGACTTTTTTGAATGATACACCCTCCATTGAGAATATGATGGAACTAATGGAGTCTTGCCCAGAAAAACACATATATAAAATGAGGCACACTCCTTCCAGGTCACCCATAGATCCCTAAATTAACTGACTACAGCCTAGTTAACTAGGCAAAGATGCATTATGTTTTCTAGGGGGTGTACTGAGGAATGGGAGAGTTTCAAATTATTCTCTGTGGGTTTAGGCTGGGAAGAAGCAGAAGGTACTAAAAAAATCTTCAATAGTAAAACCTTTTCTCGTGGTTTCATTCTAGTCCTTAAATTTGTACAAGGGTTTAATAGGAAGGGCACTTTGGGAAGATGTGGGATGAAAGAGGAAGAGGCTGCCTAGTTTAAATAAATTGCTTACAGCACTTGCTGTTAAGATAATCACACACGAACAGCTACGCAGAAAGTCACAATCTAAAGAGTTAATTACATTTCCCCCAGGATGAAAGGAACCCTAAGTATATATATGGCAGCATTACTGGTTACAGCTCTGGCTTGCTGGTGAAAGACCAAGACATTGAACCCTTTCATTAGTGACATACATACTGGGAAACTGTTCAAGGACATTTCCTATTCATTTGTTGAGCTTTAAGATCATGGGTACTTTTGACAGCTAGATATCTTAAGTATTTTTAGTTAAGCTGGATATAGACTACATAGAATACTCCTGCTCTATGGGATGAATCTGTACGTGCCAAGAGGCTTCCACATCAGTTTTGCTTTGGTAATCCCAGGTACTAGTTCATAAAAATACCTGTGTTTTCAGTTACAGTCACATAAAGCTTTTTTCTTAAAACTTCTGCAAAAACAAATATTCACAACTAGGAAGGTGTGCTTCGCCTGCTCAGAGTCTGATTTCAGAAACAACACCGGCTCTAAGTACCCAGAGTCACTTCTAGGAATTAGGGAAACCTTGTCTCATTTGTTCAGGTGCTAATTATCTATTTTGTAAAATTAACAGGCAAACCACTAGCCTCTCCTCTTCAGCTGTCTGTCTAGTTCAAAACTAGGCAAAGCCTTTGGAGACGGAAACGGAGACTGAATAAACTTCGACTTCAACCGAATTCAGTCGTTTCGTAGAAATCCTCAGGGCGGAAAATACTGGGGGAAAACACTGTCATTATCCCTGCCTGCCAGCACCTCCTAGCACGGACAACCAAGGATCTGATGCAATGAAAAACAAAACAACGCTGACGGGACGACTTTGCGAGTGGGAAAACGCATTCGGAAATGAACTCACGCTCTGGCCAAACCTTTAAAATCTACGTTCCATTGGGGGGGGGGGGGGACTAGCTACAATTTTTTTGCAAAATAACTGGATAGAAGGGCAAGGAGGACCCGTAGTACCATTTCTTAGAAGGAATAACCTCCCTAAAGCCAATGCCAACACACACACAGACACACACACACATGCACACTGCTTTGCTCCCCAACACCCAGCGGACAGGCCGAGACCCCTCCGGGGCTGTAGTTATCACCTATTCGCGGACGTTCTCCCAGGGCAGAGGCTGCAAAAAGCCCTTCCACCTTGAAAGCACATTCCAGAGCTGGGGGGGAACGGGGCGGGAGGGGGCTCGCTTAGCTGGAAGTTATCATCCCTCCTCTCGGGAGAGCTCGGGCAACTTGGAGCCTCCGGGTCCCCTCCACCAGGCCGGGGAGGAAGAGGCATCGGCCGAGGCCGCAGGCGCCAGGCTGTGCGGGGCAGGGAAAGCCCCTGAGCCGGAGGCAGCGACGGGAACAATGCGGGAGAGCGGGGCGCAGCCCGGCTCCCGCAGGACGGGGGTCGGCGCCCGCCGGAACCCGGGAGCTCCGGTTCTACGCCCGGAGACCCGGCCCGGCCTGACAGGAAGCGGCGACCCCCATCCCCTGGCCCGGCCGGCCCGGCCCGAGCCCGCGTACCTGGTCGGTGGGGGCTCGGTCCATGGCGCCAGCAGCCGCAACAGGCCCGCTCTAATCGGTAACGAGAATGCCTCGGGCCGCTTTCTCCATGGCCCCCCGCTCGGGTCCACACTGGGCTCCGGACCGCCGCCCCTATCTGCCTGGACGCGACAGCGACTCGGCTACGCCACTGGCCGAGGAGGCGGCTCCAGCTCCCGGAGATTGAGGAGGCGGTGGCAGCTTCGGGGTGGGATCATCTGGGACGGAAGCCGAGGAGGGCCCAAATGGGCGGAGGAGTAGTCGGAAATGGAGGTGTGCGGAAGGGAAGGGAGGGGGGAGGAGGCTGAGTGACGGCAAATGGCCTGAGCGCGGGTGGGAGGACTAGCCAGACTGGGGTCTGAAGGAGGAGCTCGGGAGCAGGTGCCGCCAGCCGTGGGGGTCGGGCCACTTGGACCCGGAGTCCAGTCCTCAAGAACTCTCGAGACTCTAAAACCACCTCTTAGTCACGCTGTGAGAGCTGTTCGCTGCCCACTATACGTAGGAGCCTTCTTCCTGTTCTCCAGATAAAGGGAGTCATGACCAGAAAGGAATGCGGAGATGGTGAAAATAGTTAGGGAAAGTGCGTATATAAAATGCCTACACAGAGTGGCCACCTTCTGGAATCCCTTTTCAAAAGCCCTGCAGGTACTGATTGATGAGTGAATTCTTTGTTCAGGTCCAGGCTGAGTTCTCCTGTCTCAGAACCCCTCATGTTACCCAGAATCCATACAACATCGCCCAACAGGTAATTACATCCTCAGGAATGCTGCCTTCCCCCACTGCAGGTATTGATAGTTCCTTTGAATCTTCAAGATCATTAGCTCCTACAGGGTAAAGACTGCCATGAAACTGTACACTTCCCTGACGCGCAAATTCCCTCCTAGACACACCCTCCCACAAGAGTCCTTGCTTGCAGGTCAGCTCCAGGGTGAGGAAGAAGAAATACGAAAAACAGTGTCAGCTAAAGGGAACGAGAACTTTAAGAAATTTGCATTGTCATACTTGAGCAGATGTCAGTGAAGTCTTGAATTGCCTTATCTGGTAGTCTGGGTTAGTCTCTTTTCTCTGAATAAGACGCCCAGGATGAGGCTGTTCTGTGAAGCTCCTGATTGTACTTATCTTGGTACTGTATTTTGGCCTGCTGAAAGGAGCTGTATTGTGTCAGCAAGACATTTATCAAGGCTGCAGAAGAAGCAGTTTGTAAGGAGAAATATTTACACCTGTACATAGAGATCTCTCATTTATTCAGTATTATTCATTCTTCTACCTCCTCAAATTTAATATGCTCGTGTATATAAATTGTACATGTATGTGCGATTGTTACATGTGTGTGCAATTAATGTAATGTTGGTTTCCTAGAGCCTAATACACATGTAGTCAGAATTCACTGTATCCTGAATGAGTTTAGAGTTGCTCAGAAAAACTGAGCTATTTATAAGGTGAAGTTATGTAAACGAACAGATGATCATCTTCCTCACAATTGAAAGAATCAACTCAATTTTCAGACCCTCCACATTGGTCATCTCCAGTCATAAGATACTCTCATCTGAGTAAAAAGATAAAAATAATGCAGTCATAAAAATACTACAGTACTTTGGTTTTTCTTTTTTATTTATTTTTAAAGATTCACCCATCTATTTGAAAGGCAGAGTTACAGAGAGAGAAAGGGAAAGAGAAAGAGGAAGAGGACGAGAGAGAAAGTTCTTTCTCCTGCTAGTTCACTCCCCAAATTGCTGAAACAGGAGCCAAGAGCTTCACTGGGGTCTCACACATGGGTGGCAAGGGCCCAGGCATGTGGGCCATGCTCCACTGCCCTCCCAGGCAAATCAGCAGGGAGCTGGATTGGAAGCAGAGTAACCAGGACATGAAATTGGTACCCATGTGGGATGCTGGCATCGCAGGCAGCTTAACTCGTGTGCCACAACATGGGCTCCTCTTTCTTCTCCTGAAGAATGACCTGAGAAGGTTTAAAGATAGGATCTCCAAGGATCTGTTCACCTTATAGGATTTTTAGGCCGTGAAATAATTCTTGTTAAGAATCTTCCATGTACAAGACATTCATTTAAACCATATGAACAGAATCATAATGCCCTTCTTAATTAATGTAATACTTAAAAAGGTGGCGGTAGATATTAAAAAAATTAAATCTATGAAGAAATTTCACAAGTACTACATTTTGCAGATGATATGAATGCATTTGAGTTAATTATTTTATTTAGTAATAAGTACTGCATTGAATGTTCCACGTGCTATGCTACCTACTGGAGGTATAGCAGTTAACAAATATAATGGGCCAGAAACTATTTATCTTGGGGGCAACACATACATAGAACAAGTTATTGCAAGTTATGTGAGTTTTGTGAAAAAATGTTCAGTTGGCTATACCATGGAATGGGGCTGGAAGGTCAGGGAATTCATATCTGAAAAAAATAGCATCTAAGCAAAGACTTGGAGCAGTTATAACGGGTAAAGGAAAAGAAGCAGGAAAGTGGCTTCAATAAAAGGATCAGGTCGTCTGGTGCAGTGGTTAAGATACTCCTTAAAATGCCTGCAGCTGCTATTGGAGAGCCTGGGTTCAAGACCTGATCCTGATTCCAGCTCCTTGCTAATGCTCACCTTGTAGGGAAGCAGGTACTTGGGTGCCTGCCAACTGTGTGAGAGACTCAGACTGATTTCTGGCTTTCTGGATTCAGCCTGGCCCAGCCATGGTTCTTGCTGACATCTGGGGAGAGAATCAGAGGGCAGAAGATTGCTCTCTCTCTCTGTCCTTCCCTCTTGCTCTCTTTCTATCTCCAGCTCTCTCTCTCTCTCTCTCTCTCTCACTCTCTCTCTCTCTCTCTGCCTCCAAAATAAAACAATTTAAGGAAAATTCTTTAAAAAAAAAAAATAGAGGAGGAGGAGGAAATGGCATGCATTAGCACCCAAGGAGAAAAAGAATTCAGCATTTTTACTTTTGCTCACTCCTTGAGATGAGAGTTTAGGATGTGCAGATGTAAGGGATAATCTAATAGGGCAAGGCCTCCTGTGGGAGTAGGGACATGTTGTCCACTGTTAACAGGAGACAAGGAAGAGAAGATAGATAATGGTGGCAGATATATCAAGTTTGGAAAGGAAGATAGTAGATAATGGCTGCAGATATATTATTTGTTGCCAAGAGTTGAAGGAATGTTTGTCTGATAGCTTCTGTCTCTTTTTAAGATTTATTTATTTATTTGAAAGATTTAGAGAAAAGAAGAGGCAGAGAGACAGAAATCTTCTGCCGATTCACTCTCCAAATGGCTACAATGGCCGGGGCTGGGACAGACTGAAGCCAGGAGCCAGTAGCTTCATCTGGATCTCCCCCATGGGTGCAGGAGCCCAAGGACTTAGGCCATTCTCCTCTGCTTTCCCAGGTACATCAGTAGGGAGCTGCATTGAAAGCGGATGAGCCAGGACTCGAACCAGCGCTGATATAGGATGCTAGCACTGCAGGCAGCTGTTTTAGCCGCTTGCCAAAGGCCCGCCTGGGGAAAGGAGGCAAAATTGTTGGGCTCACTTGTCAAGATTCAGGAAACATAAATGTAAGATTTTCCATATCAGCATAGAGCAAATTGTACATCAAAAGAAAAAAACACTATAGCTAACTCTAGGTTTAACAGATGCATGCACCTATGTAACCCAAATCTCCATCAAGATATAAAATGCTACCATTACCCCCAGTGATATTTAAAATTTTTCTACTTATATCAAGTGTCATATCCTGTTGCATCTCACTACCTATACCAATGTCTAGCCCATAGCAGGTGCTCAATAAGTATTTATTGAATAAATGAGCATATAATATAATAGTAAATCAGGATTCTTTCGTCCAGGATTGGGCTTTTGCTACACATGTATATTTCACTGAATGAGCAGGATTCAGGAGGGTGGTATGAGCAGAAGATTGTTGCCCTTTTTACTGTGCTGCCCTTCAAATTCTCTGAAGACTGTTTTTTTTTCTGCCCTGATGAAATCTAATGAAGGTCACGCAAACTTCATTCCAAATGAGAGCTTTTTCTCTTCCCAGCTCCATCCTTCCAGAAACCTCCCGTGAGGGAACGTGGCAAGATCCTCTTCTGTTTGGTTTTCTGCCTTTCCCATGTTTCTATCTCCTCCACCTGAGCCACTCTCTAATTAGGCTTTTAGGTTCTTCCAGGTTTGGGTTGTGAGGGCTTGACTGGAAGGGCTCCACCTAGTTCGATTGCTAAGACACGCAGAATCACTTTAGGGCAACCATGTATGACCCTGGCGCTCAGCCCTTGGGCTTCTGAGGGTCAGCCTCCCGCTTGATTCCTTGAGGGCTCAGCAGGGCAGTCCTCTGAACTGGAGTTCCATTTAAACTGGCATCAGGCAGAATTCCTTCCCACCAACCCCTGGGATCATTTTGCTAGACTTGGTTTATCATGTAAGTATTCATCCGTCGTTCCCTTTATCCACACATTAATCCATCTTATAAAAGTAGTTTGCATAGGGCTGACGCTGTGGTGCAGCAGGTTAAAGACCTGGCCTGAAGCGCAGGTATCCCATATGGGCGCCGGTTTGAGACCCAGCTGTTCCACTTCCAATCCAGCTCTCTACTATGGCCTGGGAAAGCAGCAGAAGGTGGCCCAAGTCCTTGGACCCCTGCACCCACATGAGAGGCCCAGAAGAAGCTCCTGGCTCCTGACTTCGGATCGACACAGTTCCGGCCATTGCAGCCGATTGGGGAGTGAACCAGCGGATGGAAGACCTCTCTAACTCTCTGCCTCTCCTTTTTCTGTGTAACTCTGACTTTTGAATAAATAAATAAATCTTTAAAAAAAAAAAAAAAAGGAGATTGCAGACTTCAGTACTCTTCCCCTGATGTACCTAGAAGTGGTAAAATGAAGCTTATTCCCAATCTTTCTCTTGTGTGTGTGTGCTCTCTCTCACCCTCTGTTTCACTCTTCCACCACCTGTGTCCCTCTCTTTCATGCCCGTCTCTGTCTGGTTTTCTCCACAAAGTATCAGGACCCAAGTCCCTGTACTCTGCCAGACTCCAGGTGACATGTATCAAGTTCACCAAGTGTTTTCCTGAAAGCTCCTCTCACATAGCTTAAGATAAGGGGAAGCGTCTCTTTTTTTTTCCCGTGGGAGGTATAGGTAAGGATCAGGTATCTCCAAAGCAATAGTCTTCGTGAGTCATCTGTCCCTTACAGGACTCTGTCTCACTGTCTCTGGGCTGCAGGTGAATGATGAATAATACCA